GTTCTTCTGCTGAGGACACTTCATTAATGAAATACTATACCAAGCATTTAGTTGAAGAAATAGAAGTTATAGAAGGAGCTAAACTCACTACTGAACAAGGCCATATGGTTGAATTTAGATTCCAGTTGATCCCAGCTGACATGAAATAGTTGACATCCGTTTCAGGGGAACTAAATACCTGTGCAATTTACTTTTCCCCTTTTGCCAACGTGAACCAAATTGAAAAAACCACTATTGGTGGCTCAATTGCTGGACCAGAAGCATCTTGGCAACCATGAGATTACAAGGAGTGGATTCTTGTTGCAGGGAAAGTTAGGAAGTTAGAGGCAAAACTAAGAGATCCTGAAGGAAAACAAAGAGCTCCCTATGTTAATTAGCAAGGAGAAATCTAGGCAAGAATTTGTTCCCCCCTTGGCCAAATATGTGGATTTAGCTGAGGCTGAGCCACTTCACAACACCAACAATGCCTGGCAGCAGTGGTTTTCAGCTCTCCTGACAATGGCCATGCAGTACAGTGACCAAGCTAAACTCCGCACAGCAACAGTGGTTTCAGATCTGCCCAACTTTTCACTGCTAGTTACATTTCTTAAGTGTATGTGGGAAACCATGAAGTGTGGAAGGCTGTGCAATGGCTTCAACAGGTAGTTTAGTGAAAAGAGAAGGAACGGAATTTCTTTCTCCTATAGATTCACTGGCCTGGAATCCAAGAGGTTTTCATGGAACTTTGGTTACCTCATCTAGGAACTTTTGCATCTTGCAGATAGAAAAATTGTCATGCAAGAGGATCTGCTTTAAAACTGCACGCCCTTTCATTTAGTGGTTTACAAATCAAGGATGCTGCTGCAATTTATTTCAGAGTTGAAGTAAGCAAACAGCGAGTAGATGATTTGAAAACGCTTTGCCAAAACTATTTCTCAACAAATCATCTGCTGTTAGGTGGAGTTAGCCCTGGTGTGTGGACCCTGGGCTATGCTATACCATACCACACCAATTAGCTCTTTAATAAGCTTGGGTTTGGGCTTGGCCTAAACTCCATCAGGGTCGAGAGGCTAAACATGTCAAGCTGGCCAAATATATTGAGAATACTTGCAATGTAAAGAAAAGTATGAGGTGGTGATTGTGTTCTGCCACGAGTTTGTATGTCTCATTTGGCTTGGAGAGATGGACCCTTACAGTGTCTTGTACCGGCAGGAGAAGAAGAATGGTTGTGATTCCTTTACGGTGGACATGCCTATGGAGGTGATGGACTGCATTGCAAAGTTTATCCTGAACCGAAATTTTGGTCACGAATTCAGTGAGACAAACACTCAACTGTCTTACAGAATATAATTAAAAATTAATTAAATTATAAATCAATAAAAATTATTTAAAATTATTATTGTAACTGAGGGTCTCTAATTTTCCATTAGGGGATTTGGGGGATGCCTTCCCCAGAATATTTTAAAATTTTGTGTTTAGTATTTGTAATAGCACAGTGAGTTACCTAGATGGGGGACAAACTTGAGGAGCAGGTCCATCAGCTTCTCATTCAGTAAAATCATTTGCCAGTTGTATGAAGCAAAAAGGGAACGAATGGTAATCAAGAGTTTCAAAGTCTGGCAAGGAAGATGAAAAAAAAAAGGTTCAAGATGTTGTAATCAACATGTATCTGATGGAATGGAATGGAAAGGAACAAGAACTCAAAGCCAAATAAGGAAGTAGTTACCTTTGAGAATCTTGCCAACTGTGAGTTGCAGCATACTACGCAATGTAGCAGAAGAGAAGTAGAAGAATTTCCATAGTAATTTGTATGACAAGAGTCAATCATACCACTTACTATATGAAGACAGATCTAAAGCTCTCCTTCTTCCTAGTTCAAAGAAAGAGATCTTTATGTTAAGCAGATAACAAGACAAAGTAGGAAAAGACTTCAAAAGAATTTCACTCCACCCGTGCTTCAACTATGACTTTCAGGTATCAAAAGGTTATTTTGATGATGATGAATTCAGTAATTTTACAACTGATGGTGATGTTATCATCAAGACCATAATGAGAAGTGAGAAACCCTTTAAGAGTGCAAGGTGCAACAGTCCTAGTGATCTCACAGCAGTTCCAGGTGAGGGTGCAAATTAGCTTGAACTCGATCAGCTGCTTGCCAGTCGGCTCCAAGAAATGTACAAAACTGAAGATTCTGATCAGCTACAGGAAATGTACAGCAATGAAGATTCTGGTCAGCTGCAAGAAATGCACAACACTGAAGATCCTGTAACTCATAAGGAGGGTACCAGTTCAGCAATGAACTTAACTGATTCATCTTCAGTTGCAAAAGCTCTAGCTGAGATGGTGGATAAGTCTGGCCAGCTGTTCATTGTTGTGAGAAGAGATTCCCTTTTAAAAAGAGTGCTTTCCATATGGAACAGAGAGGTGAGCAAAACCTCTGGCTCAGCACACCCAGTTGTGAAAGTGCACTTCGGTGGGAAAGAGGGAATAGATTCAAGTGCAATGGCTAGAGAGTTTTACATTAGCTCTCCCTAACATTGGCTCTGTTATGTTCTCCAATGGAAAACCATAAGATTCAACCTTTCATGAGCAGATGGCAACTTCAAAGCCTGTGCAACATCATCTGGTGAGTTGTTGGAACGGGACACCTAAGGCCTAAAAATTGCTAAGTCCATCAATGGCTCCATGTATAGGAAACCCAAAGGGCTTTAGTTTATCATATCTATCCATGTGCCAGGAATCATTGGATCTTCAATTGTGATATGACCTTCTCTTAAGTGGTGAGCTTTCCTTAACTGCAAACCTTCTGGATCTAACTCTTTTAAGATATCCTGTACTATTATACATGGAACTTGTAGGCCCTCCATCGCCAAAGTGTGCCAAATTGTCCTGTATTCTCCAGATAATCCAGGACCATTAATAATCTCGCTGACATATTGTCTCGCAATTTGTATAGTACTGTTTGAGTCATCCTTGGTGAAGAAACCTCTTCTGCCAAGTCCATATGCTTTCAATCGCCTTAAAGGTGTTCTGTAACTTATTTCATGTTTGTGGTGTTTAGCAAGTAGAAGAATAATTACTTCATAACTAAATCAACATTAGAAGTAATATTTGATAATGGTATCTTCATCAACCTTGACCTCACTGCTAGACCCTTCACTGCTAGAATCTGTATTCATATTCAAGTCTACAAGGTCAAACAACATGAAATAGTTATTAACAGATGTAGAATTCAGCAATTCATCCTAACATTTTGAGGAAGAAGCAGCCAGCTTTTAGGCTCTGGGGGATTCCCTAGTTCCTGCCATATTTGTTTTAGTTTCCATTGTAATACTAAGTACTTAGTATCAAGATAACTCTAAAGCAAGTAGGTGCTCGGGTACAAACAACCCAATACAAAAGACCAAACAATACATCGCAGCTATACGATGACTCCAATTAAAACAAAGAAACCCTTGATCAACCACAGACAACAATTTGCCCGCGACATGTAATTTTTAATTTATTAATGCATCACTTCAACAAATGATCAGAAATGAAAGAACTTCCCTTTTCCACAACTGGAGTAAAATTTTTCTTCCTCCCTTGAAGGAATGCAAAATCATCGTCATAAAAGTCAACAATCATTCACAGTTGTCAAGATTTAGTAAATTTTTGAAATTTAAAACATGCCAAGAACTTTTACATCAAGTTAAGAGCAAAAGGACAAACTAAAAAATATGAACACACACATGCAAAAAGCACGGGCTAAACGACTGAAGAAAGTTAACGGACAATGAAATTTATCGCTAGTTCACTTAGCGTATTAGAGACTGCGATAAACGAAGGCTAACATTTTATGGTCCAGCGACTTTTTTTTTTTAAAGTATTTAATTGAAAGTAATATGCGATGTTATTCCTTGCATAAATTTCGCAACTGTATCTATCTGTTGTGACCAGTTAACTTAACCATCTTCATTTACAAAGCATTTGAAAGAAGTTCACCAACAGTCTTTTTGCTGCTAAATAAATCAAAATGTGTTCCGTTCAAGAATTGCAGCAAATTGATCGGG